CAACCCCACCAACTCCGCCTCCACCAAGACCACCAACACCGCCGCCAAGACCACCAACACCTCCGCCGAGACCACCAACGCCGCCGCCAAGACCACCAACGCCGCCGCCAAGACCACCAACACCGCCGCCAAGACCGCCGACTCCGCCTCCCACACCACCGACTCCGCCACCAACGCCGCCGAGACCACCGACGCCGCCCAGACCGGCAACGCCTGCGACACCTCCAACGCCGCCGCCGGCGACTCCGACTACCGGAATGCCACCCACGGCAACTCCACCAGCTCCGGCGTAGCCGCCAACGCCTCCAAAGACGATGTTTTTCTCGTCATTGACGGAAGATTTCGCGGCGTTGGGATTTGAATCGGCGGCAGAGAGTTGGGAGTGTGAGGGGAGGGGGCGAGAGTGGGATTGAAATGGCCAAAGAGATAATAAGAACAACGAAATTAACCACCACTTCGCCATTCTTCCCCTCTCTCTCACGCTCGCTCTTCTCAACCTTGAGCAGAGTTTGGAATGAAGGAGCTGGCTACAAGCCTTCTTATAGAGCAGGGGCGAGGGAGAAATATAGGGCAAAATATATATTTAATTGGTGCTGTCCTCTAAAAAAAAAGTAGAATTTTTTTAGTTATAATGCGACCATATCCTATTGTAGATTATTGTTTTAATTCGAATAGTTTGTAGTTGTGCTTATTCTATATTATAATAATATGGTGGTTGAGAATGTAATTATTTAATGTGAGTCATGTGTTACCTTTTAGGATCATCTTTCCCAATAAAAATAAAAATAAAAAAAAGAAGCATGGCACAAAAGTTAACCACAATTTATATTTAGGGGTGTAAACGTTTGGTTCGTTTATATTTCGAGCTCAAAAAGTGTGTTTTCGACTCGTTTGCTTAGCGAGCCGAACATGAGCTGTTTACGGACAAAGAGTCGTTTTGACAACCTGTTGTTTGGACTACCCTAATCACGTAACCATAAGATGTTAAGGATTGGGGCAAGATTTAAAATATTATTTGAATCCAATTTAATATTTTTTTATTATATTTTCTTAATTAATACTTTTAATTGATTATAAATCTTTGTAACCTTGTAGCCAATTAATTTTTTTAAAAATAATACTCATCAAATATATATATATATAAATATAAATAAATAAATATATATACATATATAATTGATTAGTAGTATTTCGAGCCAAAACGAGCCGAAAGTGAACGGACAAATATTTGTTTGTGTTGTTCGTGTTCAGCTCGTTAACACGAGCTTCCTAACGAGCCGAACACGAGCTGTTCGCCAACAACGACCATTTTGACAGCCCTATTTATATGTATATAATTTATTATGGTCTGCTGGTGATTCGTGTAATGTATATATAATATAAGAGTAAATTGTCAAAACAGTCCTCCTTATTTGCATGGGTCGATTTTTGCCTTAAAGTTTATAAAAGTGATAAATGTTTTTAGAGTATTTTAAAATTGAACAGTAAGACTATTTCAACCTCAATTTTTTTTATTTTCAGTCTTCTATAAACTCTAAGGCTAAAACGATTCTGTATAAAAAGGTGAAGGGATTGAGTTTAGCTCAACCACCCTTGGGCTAAGCTTGAGCTTGATTATTTTATCGAGTTTGAGTTTGACCACTAGGTTAAGTCAATGAGTTTGTGCTGGCTTGTTTATTATAAAAGATGAAAATAATTTAATTTAAGATACTGGTTAAAATAAAATGACTAGTAGAACGAACAATTTGGAGAGAAATTTAAAAAAAATCACTTAATATAAAAATAAAAAAAATATTACTTTTTAGCATTTTTGATACTTTAAATATAAAGTCTACAAATTTAATATTTTTTAAGTATATTATATTAATATTTTTTAAAATGAATCATCATACGAGCTAACGAATTGATTCAGGCTAGCTAAGCTTGGTTCGTCAGCTCATCGAGCTCAATTCAAGATCTACTTGATTGGCTTCTGCCGGTAGCCCATCTAAATAGTCCGAGACTATTTTAGCACGTTACAAAAGCTCTCTCTCTCTCTAGATATATAAATATACCACTCTTTATGTATTCACAGCAATAACATCTCGGTTTAAGTTTTACATACATTCAATGTACCTTACCTTGGAATGAAATGGTGTATTTGGTTTTATGAAACTTAAAATAATGACATTATTTTAAATGTGATATGAAAGATTTGAGTAATATAAACGTCGGAATTGGGTGATATGTATGAAATTGGCCACATATATGTATTTTCTGTAACCTTATAATTATTTATGTGAATGTACGTGTGCATATATAGAGAGATGAACTTTTTTATACTCTTATCTCTGTGTGTGGTGTATATATATATATATATATTATAGATATTAATTGATTTATAAATGTTTTTCTAAAGATTTCACAAATTTGAGCAGTTTGTGACCAGAATACAAAATAAGAAGTTTAGTTGATTTGCTCAACAAATTAGGTTTTAAGCCCGTATATTGTAATAGACAAAAAGTCTCACATCGACTAAGTGTAGGGCCGAAAAACAATATTTAAATCCTGGACTGCACACCACCCCGAAGAGCTCTTTTGGAGGTGACAAGTGGTATCAAATAAGATTACTGCTTTCCAGGTGTGTAGACTCTTCATTGTCTAGTGGGACACTCGGAGGAGCCGATACGTGACGAGAGTGTCACGTGATTAAGTGGAGGAAAATGTCACGGACAAAAAGTTCCACATCGGCTAGATGTACGGCCGAAAAACAGTAGTTAAATGAAGAGTTTCCCACCACCCCGAGAGCTTTGTTGGGAGGTGACAATATGCTCAACATGTTAATACTATAAATAAATTAACATTTATATGCTATAATTAGTTATTTATTTATAGTTAAGAGAATATTTAATATTCTACATTATACTAAAAAATCATTTTTAATTTATGTCAACATACTTTTATTGTGATTGAATTTATTTTGAGATATATATAATAAATGATAAATTAATTAATTAAAATCTATAATGATAAATATGTATTAAAATAAATCCGAGCTTAAATTTCTTATTTTAAATATTTATATTACAAAAATCATTTTAAATTTGTAAGATATTATTTAACAACCATACAAAAAGATTATCTTTCTTAAACTGCTTTTTAAATCTCTTAATATTTCTAAAATTATTTAAAATTATATTAGGTCCCGAATAAATCTAGTTGTAATTTACTGGCCGAGGACAGCTAGAAGAAGTAAATGCTAGCGTGGTAATTAAATTCTGACAGAATGACAGCACTGTTACAAACTTCGGATAAATTTTCTTAACAAATTAGCAATATATATATATATATATATATTGTCATAATTTATTTATAAATTTAATCTTTTTTAACAAAATTTTCGCCTATTAAAAAAAACTTGATACTTGAATAATCTGCTCTAACATATATTTAAATCTAATTTCTGTTTAGAAGTAAAATGTCTAAATAGATAATTCATTATTTACATGAGGTCAATTTAGGGTCTGTATGGGAGCTATTGCGTTTCAGAAACTTATCCTGAGATGCGACCCGCAGGTTGACCGCGGGGATCGACCCGTGGCCTGCGTGAAACCAAAAGATTAGTAATTTGACAGCAAAACACCTCTACAATTGTTATATTTATACACTCACTATTCGTAATGTTTCTGGAGTTTATTTATCTATTTTTTTCCTAATAATCTCTAAATTATGGCAAAAATGTTTATATCATTTATATAATTTCGTATAATTTATTGTAATAAACTATAAAAAATTCATATGATGTTATTTTTAAGAAAATATCAAAAAATAGTTCAAAGAAATTTGAGAGAGAAAGTACCCCGCATAATTGTACTCTACGGTTGCAGTGTGGGTCCCGATTAATTTAAGTGCTGCAGTGAGGTCAAATAGGTTCGGTTGGCCGGCGGTGTAGCCATGCTCATGTCAGACCGTTAGTTAATGATCTAAAGGCCGGTTCATTCATCCGGTTCGGTTCGCTTCCCGACGCGACCCTAATTAATCATTTATTAGAGCATTTACATACTCATATTTTTACTTATCCAACACCTAAACTTGAATATTTATGCAAATAATACCAAAAAAAAATGAATATCACATGAAAATATTTAATTTCTTACAAGTGTAATATAGATTGCATAAATTTTATAATATCAAAGTGTTATAGATATAAATATTTAGATGTTAGATATGTAAATAAATAAGAATTATGTGGTGCGAAGATAATTTTCTCAATTATTATACAAATATGATGTTAGATGAGTAAATACTTCATTCAAGTCAAACTTTTGTATACAAATTGTAAAAATAATTATAATTATAAATTAATACCCGAGTCTTAAAAGTACTTGAATGATTAATTTTAGTTAATCTTTTATTAATTATTTTTTCCATGTTATTTTTTTAAATATTTTTATTTATATAAAATATTGTAAAATATATGAAGATTTATAATCTTAGATACTTGGCTTAGTTCCCATGTATATGCATATCTAACACTGAAACCTTAGTACCTATTCATGTAAATGTGTGTTTCATGTAGGGTTGTAAGCGAGCTAAGCTGACTCATGAGCTGGCTTAGGCTCGACTCAATAAGCAGCTCGTGAACAGAGCTTGACGAGCTAATATGCTCGGCACAAGCTAGACCTACCCTAACTCTTGTCGGCTCGTTTAAAAAAAAAAAAACTAATAAAAAACATATTTAAATCAATATTTTTTTAAAAAATTACTAGCAATATTTATATTTTTTCTCTAAATATTTAGTTAAATATATTTAATTTATCTCTTTTATTCATTTCTAAACAAGTCGGTTCAAACTAGAAGAGCTACGCTCGAGCTCGTGCTCGAACTGGATTGATTGGTCAAACTTAACATTAAATTGGTCCGAGCTCAACTTGACTATTTACACCCATATATTCACTTTTAAGAAGTTAAAATAATCATTTTCTTAGATGAAATGTAAAAATTGAGTGGTAAACATGTAAAAAAATAAAATTTAGTGCGAATTGGTTGTTATGTATTTAAATTTCCCCCATCAAAAAGTGAAAAAATTACTAATTACTATTTACATTTTTACCATCGGAGATATAACAAGTGGGCCGAGACCCGCGAGGTAAATAAATGCTCTTGGCCCAGATTGGTCAAATACCGCGGTCGTCAGTTAAAAAAATAAAAATAAATAAAATATTCTTAAAATTTTATATTAACAGTATATTATGTTGGTTAAAGGCCGGACATAAGCATTTATAAAATCATTTTCAATAAATAAATGTAAATGCTTCACGCGCCCAATAAGATTATGATAATTATGAAATGTGCTTTTTTTTTATTTATTTATCGGGAAATAGGATAATTTATTGGCTTCGTGAATGATTATCAGAGTCAAATCTAAATTTGACTGTCCTTATTTTAAAAAAGCAGAGGGTTAAAATAGTCACTAATTATTTAAATAAAATGATCTTAATACTTTTAAAATTAAAAAAATATATATTATATCAGCTCTCCGCATGAAGAGCTACGTGCTACGTGCGGAGTCCAATAAATTTACGTCATTGAGGTGATGAATCCAATAACAAAATAAAATATTCTACTCGTGTTATCTATGTGTTATTGTGTGTTATTCAAGTATTATTGATGTGTTATTGTGTTATTATAACATCTGAAATATTCTCTGAATATAATAACACCTGAATAACATACAATAATGCTTGAATAACACACAATAACACATGAATAACACGAGATAAATATTCTCTGGTGTTACCGGGCCGATCACCTCCACGGCGTAATTTTCATTGGACTCCGCGCGTATTATTTTTTCTAAAATTAGGTTTGAAATAATATTGATATAAGACTATTATAACATCTCAAATTCCTTGGTGGAATAATTCTTTTGCAATTTAAATTGAGAAGCAAATATTTTTATGCATGTTTTTTGAAGATTTAATGAAATAGATTATGAATGAGGAGATTAGAAAAGGTGGCATTTACATACATACCATATCATTCATATGAATGTGTATATCTAACACCTAAACTCTTATATTTATATACATAGTATTAAAATATTTAAATGTCTTATGGTCACTAATTTTACAATGATTTTGTTTTTCTTCACAAACAACTTAGGTTTCATAGTTTAAAATTTTATATGGGTGTTTGATTTGTAAATAGCAATATTTAGAGTACTCTGTATGTAATTATCTCAGGCACCTAAATCATTGATATTTTCATATATTTCCCAAATTATCACTCAAATATCAAAATTAATGATACTTTCAGCCCATATTTACCAAAGTCTGAATGATTTGATCGTGATGCACATAAAAGCATCATTTGGACACTTACAAAAAAAAAAAAAACTCCTAGGGGCTTGATTTATAAATATGAATGTTTGTATGTAATTATTCCAATAATAAAACATGTCCTCTTGCATTTATTTTTAATAGAACCCTTCAATATTAGCCTCAACAAGAAATCAATCCAAAGTTCATGAATGGTGGGCAATTGCCCCTCAAACCTTGTACTACTCACAGAGTAAGAACGTATTTATACATCTAACACTTAAATTCACCTTTTTACATTTTGAATAGCGCATAAAAAATATGAGTAGAACGTTAAAATTGTTCCCGACTATTTATATGGGGTTGTTTTAATCATTGGGTTTATAGAAATGTCAGAATAGTTCAAATCTATTTAAAAATGAGTTTTAATAGCTTTCTATCGGACAAATTCAGCCCTAAATTAAATAATCTCATAACTATTTTGACACTTCTATAAACTCAGAATCATATTTAAATAGTCGGAGGCTATTTTGACACTTCTACATTTTTTATACATAAATAAGGCGATGCATGAATTTGAAGTTAAGGTGTTAGATTTCTAAATATAAAGGAATTGAGTTGTATTAAGGTCAATCTTTCATAATTATATTAACTATAATATGATGATTATAAGAATAATATATTTTTACTAAGAAAAAAGATCGATAATATCAAGGCATTTATAGAAATTTTGATCCCCATATTTTCGTCTGAAATTTTTATTGGAAATTCTATTTCATAAAATGTTGAAATAAATATTATTCTTTTCGCAGGTCTTCTTCTTCGAATGTTCTATTGTCCATGGGCTCGTTTAAATGACCTGCATAAAAGCCCAAATAACTTCCCCTACAATGGGAAAGGCCCCCGAGATATATATGGCGTTTAAAGGCTAACGAGAATGTATCCAAATTAGGAGCGTAAATGAGCCCACCAGCTTGCGAACCTGCTCTAGCTCGGCTTGCTAACGAGTTTATGAGCCCAATTTATCGAGCCATTAGGTTGAGCTCGAGCTCATCTTTGCTCGGTTTGTTGGCTCGCAGAACAACTTGATTCGCATGCCGCTAGTGATTTTCATAGATTTTCCAATGAGTTGTGGCCATAATTCTCCTATGCTTACCAATATCTTATCCGGTGAGCTCACATAAAAAAAAAAAAATGAAATTTTCTATCAAGCTCGTGAGCCACTCGCAAGCCGGCTTCTACTACTGCGAGCCAAGCTCGTGCTCATCATTCGAGCTCGAGCTCGACTCCACTCGTTTGCACCCCTAGTCCAAATAGTCTCATGAGTTTGTAGGAATCATTTTAATATTATAGTTTTTTAAAATATCAAAATACACCTCAAACTATTTTAATATTGGCTGAAATAACATGTACGAAGAGGCTATTTCAGCCCTAAATTAAAAATCCTGAGAGCTAAATTTGCAAAATATATGTATGCATTCTACAATACTTTAATTTCAGAGCCTGGAAGTAATTGAATATATAGTTGAGTGTTTATTTCATATCTGAGTTCCAACTGAAATTTGTGCTTCAACAGGCTTTTCGTGGGCTTGGCCCAAGAATAGAACTTAGAAATATGGCCTGATTTAAAATATATTATATAAAAAAAAAACTTTATTTTATCTTTTGCTAATTTCATAATTCCACTTTCCCATAATTTCAAAAATAGAATTTAAATCTTTAGCTTTTTGTAAATAAAAATTATCTCCGAATAAAATATATATATATAACGTATTATTTTAATCGAACCGCCAAATCAAATGAAATTTAAATATTTTTTTAATAAAAATATAAATCCAAATATCTATTTCAATTTTCCAAAAAAAAAAAAACAAACAAACAAAGAAATTCTCCTGCCAGAAGGTGATTCAGCAGTGGGCCCCACCTGCTCCAAGTGCACCGGAGGGTTTCAAACGATTCTTCGCATTCGAATCCCCCTTTCCCCTTTCCTCTGTTCACAAAATTCCTGAGCTCCCTCCCCGGTCCATCTAAAGCACGACAGAATCGCCTCATTAAAAAATTTATATTTAAATTTAAATTTAAAAAAAAGGTGCATTTACATAAATACCAACCAAATTATATTTATTTATAGATCAAACATCTAAATTTTACATTTTATATTTATACACCCAAAATTTTCATACCACATAAAAAAATATAACTATTTTAACTCCTAAATAAGAAGGTATATATATAACTTAAAACCTAACTCTTAAATCTGTAAATACACAAGTTATATCTTTTATTAAGAAAAAAGTGACAGGACAAAATCACCATGCCATGCATGTACTTGATCAATTATTACTTTAACCTGTTTATTATTTATATGCTTTAACATAAAATATTTGCAATTATCCACACATTTAATCATTGCGACAGCTAAACTTAGCATTTTGAATTATTTAATTAAATAATCTATTCTTACCTCTACATGAAATATATATATATATATATATAAATTAAATGCCCAAAATCTTCCACTTACCCAACCCTCCTCCCCTCTTCCCTCATCCCCTCCTTTCTTCCCTCATCCCCTCCTCCTTCTTCATCTTCTTCCTCTGTCATATTAATGGATTCTTTAATGGATTAATAGGGAAGACAAGAGCTCAGAAAAGAAAGAGTACTTAAGCTCGGATTAAAAAACAGAAGAAAATGAGAGAAGAAATGTATGGCTATGCAAAGCTCCTAAGGTTCTTCCTCCGCATCTTGTCGTGCTTCCTCTGCATTGGTCTAATTGTCTCCATGGTAGGAGAAGGCGGCGGCGGCGGCGGAGGCTTCGCTCCGGCGCCAACTTTGGCTCCGGCGATGTTGAAGGAGAGGGAAATGAGTAATGGTAGAAACGCAATGGCGAAGCTTGTTTATGTGAGCAAGAGGAGAGTGCCTAATGGTCCTGATCCCATTCATAACAGGTATTCAATTTTATTTCCTTTTATGGTGCAATTATTTGAATGTTTGATTCAATTAACATTTCATTTGCATATAATTTCTTAGATTGTCGTTTTTTATGATCCTGATCTTATGCCTTGTTCAAATGTATTTTGTTGCTGTTTTGTTTGCTCTGCAGAACTATGGAATACTGTGTGGAGAGATTGTTATATTGAAGATTTTATAATAATAATAAGAATGAGCAGTAATATAGAAGGCATAAAAATCTGATTTTTAGAATTTTGTGCTTATTTTGCTATTCAAAGAATGCTGACAGTAGATTCGAAATAATCGAAAGCTTAAGAAAATGCATTTTATATATAATTATATGATTATATAAAGAAAAAAAGATTGAAAATTGTTTACCTCTGCATAATGCAAATTGTTCTCTTCACCGGCGAATTTGAACCATCTCTGGTGAACTATTTCTTACTTGCCTTGTGTTTCCAGGAGAGCAGGGGATTCAGGGAGGTCGCCCAGAGGAGCATAGGGGGTGGGTGGTGGTGGTGGGGGGACGGTGGAAGCGGGACGGTGCTGGAGTAGGGGTGGGTGGTGCGGTGAGGCCGCCGCCGTCGCGTCCGTAGGCGGCCGCCGGCGGGCTCTCATTTTGAATGCGCAGCAATCATTTGGGCTTCAGAGTCTTAAAACACAGTTTAAAAATGGTTTGATTTTGTCAAAGAGAGAGCTCCGCTTTAAGAACGTACTGTTCAAAGAACACAAAAAAAGAAGATTTTGATTTCGATTTCTTCAATCTTCTTCTACACAAAAAAAAAGAAAAAAGAAAAAAAAAAACGCATTCAAGATTCTTGGCAGAGATGGGCGGGGCTTTGGCAGTCGCTTTAGTTTATCTCCTTCCTTTAGTTTCAAACAGAGCGAAAAAGCAGCTCAGAGAGTGGAGGGAGAGGGAAAAAAAAAATGATTTTGTGAGGAGAGATTTATATATTTTTTGTTTATTTTATGGTTGAAATATCTGAAATGGAAGGAGGATTTTGGTTTTTCATTCTGATTTTATGGTGTTTGTTTATGGGAGTTTTGATGTGTTTTAAATGTTATGTGTTTGTTGCATTTATATATGTGGAAGCTGCAAATACATGTTGGATTGTTGAAGAAGAGGCTCTCTATAGCTATTCAAAAAAAATTACAAACGTTGTAAATGTAATTCTAAAAGCACTTTTTGTTAAACCATATACATTAATTTGATATATATATATATATATATATATATATGTTAAGTTTATTCAGTGTCATTTTGTAAACTTCTTTTTCAAGAAAAAGATAATAAATTATTAGGGCGTAATCAGATTATGTCTATAAATAGGCAGTTGATATGCTAGAATTTTCAATTTTTCTATTTAAATAATAAAATTTAACACTTTTAATTATCTTATGTAGTTAAGAAAATTTAGTAATTTTATACAAACTCAAAAGATTTTTTTTGCCAAAAAATTTTAAAAAATAATTATTTGATGATTTTCCAGCCCTAAAAAGTAATGCTCGTCCCTCTTCTACAAGCTATTGAAAGCCAATTTCAAAATAAAACCTTAACAATCTCTTACAAAAGGAACAAATAAATAAACAAAAACATTTAACCAATATACCAATCTCATCAAAATTTCATCTTTTTAGACTTCTATTGGTCAAGACCTTGAGCTCGAACCAAAATCTTTTGAGTTCTATGCATGGCTTTGTCATTAAATCGGCTCAAATATCAAAAAATAACAATTAAAAAACCGGTCTAAGATTAATTCAAAGGCATCAAGACGTGCATGAAGATTCTTCTCCTTCTTTCATCATAAGTAACCCATCCCTTCTCCTAACAAAATCAAAAATGTAAATATAGAAAAAGGATACAAAGGCGAAGCTGAGCAAAAAGAGGAAAGAAAAGAAAAAGAGACCTCGCCCTGCTTTCTCTTTATTGCTTCTTTTCGTGCATGGCGTCTCTCACCGGGGGGAGGGGAAGGCGAAGACTGGGTCTAAAGCAAAGGCATCGGAGGAGAGAGCAGACCCAATTATCTCTGCTTCTTTCTTCGCTCTGCTACTCAGAAAACCAAAGCTTTCTTTAAAGTAATTTAAACTGGTTGTGTCTTTAGTTCTTTGTTGGCTGGCGAGCAAGCAGCGGAAGGCTTTGGTATATGGGAATGGGAAAAGTATTAGATCATAACTCCGCTACGTTCGAACTGCATTTGTTAGGAGTATCTCCATATGTTATAAGAATATTTCAGCAACATTGTTTATAAAAAATGAAATGTTATTCTAATATTATATGATGTTATTCGATTATTTTGCGTTGTTATTGGAATATTCATTCGCATTACTTAATTTGTGGTTGTGTTATTCGGCATATTCTCCGTGTTATTTTAATTTTTACTATATTATTGGAATAACACAACCCAAAATCAAGTAACGTGGGGAAATATTTTAATAACACTTCAACCTCAAATCAATTAATGTGGGGAATATTTCAATAACACTTAAAAATAACCAAATAACACTTCATTTTTTTACAAATAACGCAAATGAAATATTCTTGTAATACAGCGGGATTTTCCTAACTATTATAATCCGAACGTAGCTCTAAGTTCGGAGAGTGCTTTTGTGTGGATTGGATGTCACGTGGACGTTGATGTGTGACTCGACTTCAGTGGCTGATGTGATGACGTGACATTTTGAAATCTTATGTTGTGATTATCAAGAAAAAAATACTAGGGTTTGAACGATGCTCAGATTCAGCCATACAAGTCGAGTTGTGAGCCAAATTAAATGATTGAATTTATTTCGATCCGTCCTTGACTCGGACCAATCTACCAATCTGGCTTGGCTCGTAAGCCAAAAATGGCATTCGAGTAAGTGAGAAGTCAGTTCATAAGTTACTTCGTATGGATTAGACATGAAGTAATTAATCAGTAGCATGTGTCTTTTATATATTTTTGTTAGTACGCCTGATGTATTATATTTCAAGCACTTGTTACATCTTATCTTGTAACGTTTTAAATGTGGAGCTCAAATATAATTAGTTTATAGTAAAGGGTTAGATCGTTTGGGTTATGTACTTAATCGTTGCACTCTTTCGGCTAAACTAATTTTCGGACATACAAAATATTGCATTATATGTATTACAGGGTTTTTGTTTTTGGGCAGCTACAGCTTATTAAAAAATAACTGTAAAGCTGTTGAAAAATAATCTGATATTCAAAAGTTGTGGTGACAATTACAAATTTTTTTTATTTGAGAAAATCAAACCGCAACTAAAGAACTGTCACCTCATCTAGCCATGACCGATGGGAAAACCAAGCTTGATTTGTGAGATTTATGATTGGCTTGAGCTTGAGTTTGACTCGAGCTTACAACTTGAATTTGAATTCGCCGCCTTGAGTTAGCTTGAAAACTCCATTTTGATCATGATTTTTATAAAATAAGATTTAGCCATTTTGATCAATAATAAAAGCTTTATTTATTATAGGAAAAATAATATTAATTAATGAATTAATTAATATAATCAAGTTAACTCTACCAACTCTCGAGCTCGACATCATATAATATACAACTTTGAATTTAAGCCCGGGTGCGGGGCTCGATAAATTTGAATCGCGAACTCATTATTGAGTCGAGTTCGAACTAACTTAGCTCGCTTACACCCCAAAATCCCCGCCATAAAAAAGCTAGGTTTGTAATCCAGTCGAACAAAGTTGAGAATGCCATTGATTGCAAGTGTCTTGGTAAAATCATAGTTGGTCATGTTCTAGTCAAGCTTGAGCAAAAGTTTTCACATATAGATCTGTGTTTGGCTTGCTTAAAATTTTTAAAAATCATACTTGATTTGCAATTAATTTTTCATTCAGATCTTGAAAATAAGCTAAAAAATTGAATGCATATTTTATTTTCTTATATAAAATTATTAATGATTGAACTCATACATCTACATAAACAAACAATTGATAAAATTTAAATTAATATCTACTTAGTTTATATCAAATAAATAAAATAATATATAAGATGTGAAAAAACATTGTTGCAATTAAATAACATGAATAAATACTAAAAAAATATTTTATTAAAATAAAAAAATAAGAAGAGATATTGTATTAAATTTATATACATATTAATATTATAATATAATGTTACTATTACAAAAAAGATTAAATTAGTTATGATTAATTATATTTTATTTAATGATATATCATATAAGTATGCATTTGACAAGTTACTAGTTAAACAACATATTAATTTATTCGTGAAAATTAACGAAGCGGTTGGACTGTGTTCAAATTTCATTAATTTAACTTGTGAGTTTTATAAGAATGTTCAAATTTATTTATTCACAAAATTGAACAAAAATGATGGAAAATTAATCGAGCTAAGTTCGCATTGTTCATGATATGCATTAGTTTGTTTGTAACCTATTAATTTGATTTAAAAACTTGAGAATAATTTTGATAAATTCCTTCCGGTCTTTAAAGACCATAAAATTCATTGGATGAGTTGGTTAAAAATGTGTAAGCCTTCTTATTCTGGTGTTTTGAGCTTTAGAAACATCAATGATTCTATGAAAATTAGCTTTATGAGGTTATATTTTCAATTCAGAAATAGTAATTCCCTTTGCTATTTGTTGATGAGTGATACACAAAAATAATATAATGTTTTAAGTATCATTTTTATGCATATTTTTTGTGATATTGCACTTTAAAAATATATATATTTTTGTTTTTGTTACAAGTATACCATTTTTAGGCATTTGGAACAAAAATGACAAAATGAGCAAAATTTAGAGCAAAAACAGCCAATTTTGGGGTTTGGCGCATGATGCGCCAAAATCCAAAGTGCTGACGCATGATGCATCAGATCGGCGCATGATGAAAATGCAACAGTTTTTGAAAATGCAACACTTTCAATTTTCCAGGAAATAATTTCAAACTTGTATTATATAATATAATTTCTTGTCCATGATCAAATTCTCTTTTCACTATCTTCTGATCATGTCATTCTTTCATATTTTCCTTATAAATCATCGCATTATCGTAAGATTCATTTCTAATTTTTCAAGCTCATTCAATTGCAATAATATTTTCTCACCAGCTTCTTTCAAATTGAAATTAAATTCTTTTATTGCCTAATAAAACTTTATGTTTCAATTCAACTGACAAGTGATAAGTCTTATAAAAAATTAATTTATATAGGGACATTCCTATAAATGTCTTATAAGCTGTCATGTATGCCCATAATGCAATATCTAATCTAATAAATCAATCCATTTTGTTAAGATTAATACTCTTCTCCAAAATTCTCTTAATTTCACGATTAAATACTTTTGCTAAACCACTAGTCTGGGGATGATAAACAGTTGCAATTTTAAGTATTATATTATATTTTTTCACTAATCTTGCAATTGTAACATTTCTAAAATCAGATAATCTATCAGTAATGATTACTCTCGGCGTTTCATATCTTGTAAAAATATTTTAATTAAAAATTTTGAAACACTCCAAGCAACATATCTAGGTATGACGATTGCTTCTATCTATTTTGAAACATAATCCACCACAATTAGACATTCCAATTTTTCAAGAAATATTATTCACTCTCTGACACCGATCACATGTTTTTATTTTCAACAATGAAATCCAGATCGGCGGATGATCAAAAACTTGATGCGCAGAAACTTGTGATTAAATTAATAATGAATATGCAATGTAACCCAAACAACAATGTAAATTTAATGAAAATAATTTATCTTTAAAATTTCTTTTAAACTTCTAATTCTCTTTTACATATAACACAAATATATGTATCGTTCAAATAATACAAGACTCTAATGGAGCCATAGACATCGATCCCACAGAGAAGCTGAAAATATATATAAGCTAACTATTTATATTATATTCTTAAATTAAAATAAAAATAAAAACAAAGTAAAGTAAGAAGTTTAAAGTTAAACTACTCAAGTGAAATGCTACTAAATATTCAGATGTACGACTACAACAGTTAAGTTAAACAGATGTTAAACTTTCAAAAGTAAAATTGCTGAAATAAAATAAAGATTTTTATTGACGAAAAATTCAAGTAAGAGAAAACAATCTTCCCCTTTACAATGAAAATATGGCTTGTGAAGAAATTGAAATTATTTGAAAAATACATTTAAAAATTGTTTTGTGTCAAATAGGAGCAATCCTATTCTCTTTCCTCTTCCGAGAGCTATAAAGAACATTGACTAATCCAGAGTTTGGTCCCTAATTTCGTGGTTGAGATGGAAGGATACCGACTGTCACTCCAGAGCTCCCACAACTCCCTCACATGAGGGCTAACATGCTCGCATTAGCTTCCAATCAACTAAACTAAATTGGGGATTCTAATTTGTTACATTAAAATCTTCCAATTCTACATCAAATGAAATATATTTCCCTATGTATTTGTACTCAATCTCATGGATGACATACTCTCCCATGAAATCAAATTTAATTTTCCCTTTGTTGTAACATATGTTTCTCAACACATTTTAACAATTCAATTGGCCAGATCGAAAAGTAAATGAAGATCAAAGTTCAAATCATCACAAATTATTGACATTTATAACCGTGAAAAACAAAATCAATCCTTCACAAAACCATTTCTTCAAAGTAGGGAGAAGGATAAAGAAGACTACTCAGAATTCATGAGAAGAATACGATAAAACACGGATTTTATATATAAAAAAAAGTTTACAAATAAAAGAAATGAAAAATACATCTTATCTCATAATGCTTCCCAAGCAAATCCCTAGAAGTTCTCTCAAAGCCTTTGTTAAGTACTCTCAATTCTCTCTTAGAAGTGTAATGAAGAAGAAATCTCTCATCTTCCCTCACCTCTTACAACCCTAGCAGAAAATCTCCAAGCCCTTCACTTTCTCTCACTTTCTCTCTCTATCTCTTTTCTCTCTCTATCTCTCTCTCTTGGTTCTCACGCCACCTCTCTTTTTCGCCTTTTTCTTTTTTCGCCCCCCTTAGAAGTTTTTTTCCATCTCTATTTTATTTTGGGTTGCCTCCTCTGAAAAAGAGTTTCAATTTCCCTCCAAAAATTCAAAAGTTAAATCTTTGAATTCAAAAGATGTGTCTCTTTGATCCAAGAGTTAAATCCCTTCAAATTATAAATCCCTTCAAATTAGTCAAATTAGAACCTTCCAAAGTGTATAGATATATTGAATTACTCAATAAGGTGTTTAGAACAAGTGTCCCTTTGAAAATTCGAGCAAAATCCGTCTCGAATCTTCTTAATTTGAAAAAGTCGCACTTAGTGCATCATGCGCTGATCTGACGCATCATGCTTGCGCTCTTGATTTTGGCGCAGCATGCGCCAAACCCTAAAATTGGCTATTTTTGCTCCAAATTTTGCTTCTTTTGCCACTTTTGCTTCAAATGCCTAAAAATAATATCCCTACAACAAAAACACAAAAATATCTTTCTTTAAAGTTCAATATCACAAAAAATAGACATAAAAATGGTACTTGAAATAACATATTATTTTTGTGTATCAATGAGAAGTAAGTATTGTGGTAACTCTCATCCTCTCTCTATTATTTAAAATTCTTCTGATAATTTTATTTGGAAGGAAATGCTTAAGGTTGTCAAAATTACTGAGGGTTTCTTCTGTTGGGATGTTGGTAATGGGAGCTGTAGTTTTTTGACCGATAATTGGTTAGGAGAAACACCTTTGGCTAATTCTTATTTGAGCCCTTTTGAGGTGGGTTTGGTGGTTAAAGACTGTTGGAGTAATGATACCTGAGATTTACATAAGTTGAGCAATCTGGTTAGTAAGGATGATGTTAATCTGATTGCTAAGATTTCTATTACTGCTGGTAATAATAAATTCAAAATTAAAGGTCATGGTGGCAACTCGATTTCTAAAAATAAGTCTTTGCAAATTTCTAATGGTGTGTATTTAAATTGGGTTAGGAATTCTTTTGTTAAGCGTTCCCAATCAATTTTCTTTTAGAGGCTTTTTCATCGTATTATTCCCATGGGTGATATTCTTAAGATAAAAGGTTTGAGGCTTCCCTCTAGATGTTTCATTTGCAATAAAAAAATGATAATGCTGATCAAATTTTTATCAATTGTTCGTTTGCTAAAGATTTGGTCGAAGGTTTTTATTCTTTATGATAAAAGAATGAATGATGTTATTACGAATTCCATTGCTGGTTATATTAATTGTTAGAAAATTATGGAGGTGGTTTGTTTTTTGCTTCTATTCATATTGTGGTTTTTTGGTTCATTTGGATCGCTATAAATGAGACATAACATACAGGCAATCTGATTTTTAAGTTCTCCTGTTTTATTTACATTAGAAATTTTATTTTCAAGATGCTTAGATATGGCGGGTTTAAGAAACCAGTTGGACTGCACCTGCTGAAAGTTTTTAATAAGTAATATTTTGATTCCTATGAATTGCAACCCTGTGACTAATGTGGTTATGCAGAAAAAAAATCTAAGAGAGGTGTTTTGAAATTCAATACGAATGGTAGTTGGAATAGTTTGTTTGCTGGCATTGGTGGAGTTTGTTGAAGCTCAATATGTGTTTGCTTACTGTGGTTTTCTTGCATCGGTTTCTGTTGTTTCTCATATATGTGCTGAAGCAGAGGCGATAATCATGGCTCTTTTTTTGGCTGTCAGTTGCGGTTGAGATAATATTGATATTGAAATGGATTTCCTATAATTGTGAAATTAATGTATTAAAAAGAAGTATCCTTGGTTTTTGATTATTCATATGAAAAAAAAATTGTTTTAGTCGAGTATGTGCAGGTTCAGTGGATGTTTACTCATCGTAAAGTAACCGATATTCTAATTGGGCTGTGAAAAGACGTTTGAATTCTCAAGAGTTTAAATTTTCTATTACTATTTCATTAGAGCTTTCTTGGTTGATTAAAGAGGATTGTTTAAATATTCATTATATTTGTACTGATAATTTTTTTTAATGTGTCTTCTTGCTTGAGTTGTATTCATGGCTAATGGTTCTTAGGATTTTATTTGTTTTTTGAGTAAGTTGTTTGTGTAGGGGTTTTAGTAGAACAATTAGCCACACTTTTGTAAAATTATTTTTTTTATGAGATAAAATTCCCCATGGAATTCTTAAAAAAAAACCCTACAAACAAACCCTAATGAGTAAAGAAACCAAATTTGTGCGAGCTTCTTTGTGTCAACTTCAATTTTATGTTTGAAATATTCACAAGTGATATATTGTTTGTGTGTCTTAAAGTTGTTTGATCAATACCTTAAAAATCTAAATCCCTTTTTTTAATAAAAGAAACATTCACAATTAAAAATTATGGATTATAATCTTCTAGAGTTTTTTATTTATTAATATGTACAAAAAGGGGATAACGCTGATCTCAAATTTATGTTCGAAGTTTTCAGAAGTGATATATTGTTTGTGTGTCTTAAAATTGTTTGATCAATATCCTAAAATCTAAATCCCTTTTTTTAATAAAAGAAACATTCATAATTCAAAATTATGGATTGTAATATTATAGAGTTATTTATTTATTAATATGTACAAATATGAGATAGTGCTGATCTCAGAGTCATCCAACGATTCAGAACAAGAAAACAATATAGAGGAAGAACTCTTACAAGGAGATTACAAGACCCATTATGGAGATAACAAGACCCATCAAACTGAGTCAAACCGGTGCGAGGATGGCCAACCAAGAACATACTTCTTTGTTTTGAACCATTGGATATATATACATATATATGTATATATACATATGTATATCTATATATATCTATATAGTGTGTGGTGTTCCCCGTCTAGTTAGGTGGCATTTGAGAAGTTAATTGTGAGACTCTTGAGGTCAGAGATTCAAATCCAACTCTCGGGACGGGTGGATAGACACACATGAATTGTTAATATATAATAATAATAATAATAATAATAATAATAATAATAATAATAATAACATTTAGTGTTGAATATGTAAGCGATATACATGTTAACCGTTGTACTGCAACCGTACGCCGAATCTTGCTGCTCGCTACCGGAATTCTCGAGGTTAAACCCCATCTTGTGCTCAGAAACGGTAACCCGAGAAGCTCTTCTTTCCCCAGTTCCGCCCTACTCCTTCTCGCACGATCCCTAGTAGAGAAAATCTGCTGTTCAAATTCCTCGCCGGAGAGAGAGCGCGCCATCCCGTCCGCTCAGTTCTACGACCAATCACCAACACTAATTTTACGAGGGTTTATATAAGATTGGTTAACCCTGGCAGATTCGAGGGCCTTCTGATGGCGGATCCGCCGCGCCTCCGCCGGTTATTGACTTACAGCAACATCGTACGTGTAAAAGCGTCGCTAGGGTTAGTTATAAGTTTTGAAAGAGGGTTTTGTGCTGGAGTTGTGGGACAGGAAACATGTTGAGCGTGCTGCATGTTCATTTGTCGTCCTCGATTCCCGTGGTTGATTTCGAGATTATGCCTTACGTTCTTCTCAAGCTTCCGGATAACTCCATTTGTAATGACGTTGCTGCCGAGACCGCCTCCGTTGGGGGTTGCTACATCAGATATAAATGGTGAGTTGAAGTTCTGGCTAGTTTTGATTCTCTAGCATTTATGTGCTATGTCTGAACTTATTGTTTATTGAAGCTAAATGAGCTTTAATATTGTCCTCGTATTATAAGGCTCTTGGTTTGTTTGGTTTATGCAGTGCGTGCTTCTATCTTTTCACAATTCGTGCTAGGATCTTATTCTTATGCTGATTAACTTCGTTTTTCTAAAGTGTTCTAATTGTTAATGGCTACATTCTCTTAGATGCATGGTAATATGAATGTGAATTTGGTTTCATATTGAAGTTGTCTGTGCTAGCATGATTTTCTAGCTCTGTTTCAGCTGATTACTGTCTAGACTAGTATGCAATAATTCAAGCGCAGGCATGATGAAAAAAAACTGTTGTGCATGTATCATTAGCTGTTTTGAGTGAAGGAACTTCTGCTTTCTCTGAGCATGCTTATTAAATTTATACTGGTTGAAGTATCGATCCTCACCTCATTCAAAGATGCAGCATATTACTTTTTTTAAATTAACAAATTCTGTTTCTCTTGCGCATATACTTATCTCTTTCTTGCTATCTTCTTTTTTGCCATTATAATTTGATCAATTCTTTTGTAGGCTATAGTGCACTTAAAATTTAGTGGAAAAATTCATTTTGATTTGCTGAGAATGAAAAAAAAAAAAAAAAGTATACATGGTGAAAGCACACAGGCATGTTTCCTTGCATTGGTTTTTGTGATTTCATATTGCATTTAAAATAGCTGTTACTAATGAAAATATTTTGATTGTTATAGGAAGATAAGAATGCATAATAATTTGTGTGCAAAATCATTATTTTGTAAATCTTGGTTATTTGCATCGACGTTATAAAATTGCCTGCCATAGACAACTCATCTGAAGTTGGTAATTTGACTTCTATTAGTTGGGCATTGGGATTAAGCATGAGAAAGTCAAACAATGAATATATATGTTTGGTCTATTAAACTTTTTGTTATGCTTTGTTTTATACGAATAATTAATGCATATGGTTGCAAAATGTAAACATTCTTTACTTTCATATCACAAAAGGATCACATTTATGGGAAAATGACAAGCACAACAGTGTATGCTGATTTTTAGAGAATGGATTGTTGGATTATTTAGGATGGAAACCAAAGTTAATAAAAATTAAATAATATCTTCAATAGCCTAAGCTTTATTTTTGCATAAGCTTCATTTTGTTAAGTGAAGGGTATGTAGTGTTTTAGTGTGTTAGGAATCATTTCCACATAACACGTGGGACATTGTTTAATAAAATTCCTGAAAGTTTATTCATTCAAACTGTAGTAGCTATTACTGGTTTTCACATTTTTAAGAAGCAGTTGTGTTGAAGTTTTCCTGATTGCCCCTCTCCTTGCTTCTATCCTACCCTATAGTTCTTATCCCCATATTGCCCCTTTATGAAACATTTTCACGATGTTCCCATTTTGTAGATATTTCTTTTTAAGCCTTGACAAATTGCTTTTTTCAGTCATTTCAAACTACATGAAGTTAATGTTTCCTGTTTGTATACAAGGCTTCCTTTAATGTGTGTTTTTTAACATAACTTTTGATATCAAGGACCTCATCATTATTTATACTATGTCCTCTTGCACTTCCATGTTGAGTGTTGTTTATAATGGAGCATAATTGATCGGTGACTGTGAACGTTGGTGAACATCATATTTTGCTGATCACAACTAGCCACTTGGTAGTTCCTATTTTCCCCTGGTTTTTTAAAACCACTTGGTATCTTATCTTAACCTATTGTGTGCACACTGAAAGTTCTTTTCTCAGTTTGAATATTTTTTCTATCCATTTTCTTCATGATTAGTTATTGAATAAACCTACATATATTCACCTGCACTTCTTTTGCTGCAATTATTATTGTCTTTGATTTTTTTTTTTAAAAGAACTTATCTTCGTTTTATCTTTTAAAAATTATGGCACACTCTTGCTCTCATTTCTCCATCAAAATGTTGGCATTGCCATCAGTAGACTATTTATGTTGTAAAGATTTTTGAATGTTGCTAATGACAAGAATCCTCTAGCGATCATGATGAGCCTTTTTGGCATAATCATTTTTAATAACAACTATTGAACCTTGCATGCATTTCGGTTGACTTATTTTGTTGTGATTATTTACGTATTTTAAATATTATTTAGAAAGGGCATTCACTTCATTTTAGAGAAAAACATCACCCGCCCTCTCTCGTATTTCTCCATCACTTTGTTTGTTGTTTTTGTTCTATACAATTTGCTTAATGTGGTAATTATTTTTGGCATCATCGTTGGCATGAATCCTCTATCTACGAGAAGGGTGTCTAACATGATCAAACATCCACGCAGCCCAGCAGGCCCACAGCCCATATGCTGTTTTCTTTTTGCAGTCCCTCTCAAATATATATTTAGCGCCATTTCCCTCTCTATTTTGACTAGCCATGTTTTCATTAATAAAATTCCATGTGATTTTATATTTAATTTGATCACTGATTTGACACCTGCCTTATCATGCATCATGCAATATCTATTGTTAGTTTCTTTGATGGGAATTGAACCCTTGGACCTTTTCTTCTTTTTCTTCTTTTTCTTCTTTCTTGCAAGGTTTGCACTTTTTAGAGTTAGTTAGAGGGGTACTACCCTTAGACTTTCACTTTTTCTCCCTAATAGCATCTTTTAGGGTTATATTTTGACATTAATTATTTTTTATATGATTATAAATAAGTTGATTCACTTTGACCTTTTGTGTATTTTTGACCTGGTTAATAGATTAAGAAAAATAAAGGTTTATACTATGCTCTTATTGCATATGTTTTTAAATGATTGCATTGGACTTTTCTCATCAACTTCACTTGCTATTAGCTTTTAAATCAAATTTCAAAATTAGCAAATCAACTTTCAAAATTAACAAATAAAACTTTTTGTAATGATAAGCTTGACACCTCTGTAGTAAAAAAAACATGGCTTAAATAGTTGGTTTATTTACAAGTCTTATTCAATTAATTTTGAAGAACAAAATGAAATTAAATTTAATTGATTTTTTGTCAAACAAAATCATAATTTGACTTTGTGGTTGGCTAAACTGACTTTAGTATTTATTTGTCAATTTCTTTTTGCTAAGGCGTGAATATGAACTTTTACTGGCCTAAATTCGAACAAGATACATGTAGACATGTTTGATTGTGTAGGATAGATTACTTAATGAAGACTTAGGGGCAGAGTATTGGTTTGCACATTGGCCTTCTTGTACAAGAATCACCTTGGGTGGATATGAGCATAGGCTTCATTGTGGGTCTTTCATGGATCAAACAAAGTAAGAATTTTGTTATTCTGTTAGGATTGTTTCTCCAAAATGATACACTTTGTACCTTGCCAAAAGATGATGGATGTTTGGCACATTGCAGATTTATACTTTAAGAAGATAATCAGTCTTCATGGTGTGCCTGACACTATCATTTCAAATAGGGATGTGAAATTTTTCAATCACCTTTTTTAGGATTTTATGGGATAAGCTGCGTCTAATTTAGTAGATTAAGGGTTGGTTTGAGGCAACTGCAACTGTTTGAAGAAACATTTGTGAAGCTGCTGCAGAAGAATTTGTTGTTCAAAAAACTGTTTTGGCAGTTACAAATTTTTTTTCGAAAAAGTCAGATCGTAGTTTTTTAGCGACCATCACATAATTAAATTCGATGGTAAAATGCAGTTTTCATTTGCAGTTTTTGAAAAAGTAAACTAAATGCTGTTCTACTAAATAGAAAAAAGTACGATGCAACACTACACTAACATCGCACCGCCACTCCAAGCACACCTTTAGTTCATCAACGCACCCTAAAATAGATGAATACATTGCGACGATGAATCACAATTTGGAAAACCTCATATGCTTTTTGAGAAAAAGAATCAGATAACGGAACTTGATTTTTCATGTCCCGCTACTTAATCTATAGGCCACAACTCATTTGCGATTGTATACTAGAAAAACTCTTCTTTGGAATTATTGCCTCTACTTTCAACTTATGAGCTCAACCTGATATAGAAGTTAGAGCTAAACAGATTCAGACTTAACTTGAGCACGTGATGAAAGAAATTGCCTAGCAGAAAAAGTATCGAAAGTAGGCTAACAAAGTCTAAAATTGCTATGATCTTCTAGGAATTTGACTTGGTATGGATCAAATTGAAGAATTAGAGATTTCCTGCATATTTTCTTTGGAAGTTCAAGTTTAGAGTTGACAGTTCATTCAAGATTGTCAAGACGTTTAATGACAATGCATATTAGATTGATCGACTGGGAGACTATAATATTTCTATCAACTTTAACATTGTTAACCTATGTGGAATTACGCTCATTATTATTTATTTTAATTCTATTTAGTACTTGCTATATTTAGTCATAGTATAAAAATGATAATTTCTTAATTATAGATATTTATGTTTATTCCATAATTATAGGAATTACTTAATTGTAGGAAGATTTCTTTCCTCCTTTTTTATCTCTTATACTCGCCTATTTATAGGTGAATTATCTATGTATTCAGGGAGAAAGGATTATTCAAAATTCACATGGTATCAAAGCCATCAAAGGGAAGCCTCTCCAGCTCGGCTCGATCACGACCCTTCTCTCCCACGATCGTCCTTAACCGAGCGCTGCCCTAGTTTGCGCCTGCCCCGATCGTCAGCATCCGAGCGCCACTCCTCATCCAATCGACCGATCACGCCTCTCTCCGATCGTCCGCGTCCGCGACCGATTGTCCGTGCTGTTCCGCGATCGTCCGATCGTCCGTGCTTCTCCCATCGGGCTTCTCCCGCGATCATCTGGGCTTCTCCCGCGATCATCTGGGCTTCTCCCGTGATCTTCCGCGATCGTCCGCGCTTCTCCCACGATCGTCCGCGCTTCTTCCGCGCTCCTCCGCAGTTCCGCGATCTCCTGCGCCGACTCTTCTTCTGCGACCGAGCACAGCTAGTTCTAGTCGCGCTCAATGACTAAGTACGACCATGCCAACAACTC